TTTCGATTTTCAAAACAATTAGACCGCTAAAATGTTGTTTGTGACTTAGTAAGACCATATGATCAAATTATAGAAAATCCATGTAAAGCTCGAATGCAAATGAGCAAATATTCATTGAGTTTAGAATAAACTCCGGGGAAAATTTGTCCCGTCGTTCCCGCTTAAAAATTAGTTTAGCCCTCCGAAGGCCCAAGCTGATGTCGAGTAAAAAAATTAAGGTCAATTTTGGAATTGATTTCAGAATATCTCGAGAAGTATAAGGAATTACGGAATGAAATTTGGTAGTAATGAAGGTTGTTTACATATGAATAGATATGGATAAAAAGTAAAATTGTAAAGCATTTGATTTAAAAGAATTTTATTGGCGAAAGTAGGTACCCTATGAAAAGAGTTCCATACCTTTATTTTTTTTTTCAACACCTCAATTTCTTTTTTCTAAGCGATCTAAAGGCCTGTGGTTATATATACACTACCCTCCATAAATAAGTATCCACTGTTATTTTTTCACTAATTTTAAATGAAAAAAGCTAAAAAGTCTATAGAATATTTGTAATTGTCTTTTATAAAGAGAGATAACCTATACTGAGCATTGTAACAAAAGAATCCAATGAGAAATTAAATTTTTAGACAAAAATTAATCAATTAACACCATATATTTTGTAAAATTTATTCTCAACATTATTAAATGGTATTTGTATCATAAAAATCTCAGACTTTTACTTGCCTACTTTGAGTATTTAAAAGAAAAATAAACATAAAAATAAAGAATTTTAATAACCAGTAACCTCTTATAACATGAAAAATTACATTTGATGGGTAAAAAAACTTAAAAATTGAAAAGATGGGACGGCTGACGTTAGAGAAAAGGATTCTCTGAAACCTGCTGCATCAACAAGGAAACACAATATCGGAGATTGTCAGAAGACTTGGAACTACAAGGTAAGTGAGCACTTTTGATAGAATTAAATTTTTTTTTCAACATATTGCTTAAAGTTAAAAAAAAAAAACTTCGTTAATTTCCTTTCCTTTAACAGAAAGATGATTCGGAAAACAATCGAGAGACGACAGACAACTGGATCTTATGAAGACGCTGCACGACCTGGGCGACCCAGGATATCAACAGCCAGAGAAGATAGAATTCTTGTGAGAGAATCTCTGCAGAACAGAAGAGAGACCGTTCCACAGCTAAGGACTGAGTGGATGCAGAATGGAGTCCAAGCATCCAACACCACAGTAAGACGGAGACTGAAGGAAGCTGGTCTTGTAGCACATGTGGCTTTGAAAAAACCTCTCCTCACAGCTGTTCATCGCAGGAAAAGATTGCAGTTTGCACTGGCTCATGCCAATTGGACTTGGGTTGACTGGTCAGCAGTGCTTTGGTTGGACGAGTCCAGATTTACCCTTTTTCAAAATGATGGCCGTGTGTTCGTCAGAAGGAGATCTCATAAGGCATACAGAAACAACTGTATTGTACCAACAGTCAAGTTTGGTGGGGGTGGTGTTACTGTCTGGGGTGCCATGTCCTACAGGGGAACTGGATTCCTGACTCCTCTCAAAGGTAACCTCAACAAAGATGGATATTTGGACATTCTCAGTAACTCGGCAATCCCTTCTGCACATCTTCTTGGATATGGAGATAACTACTTTTTTCAAGATGACGGCGCTCCATGTCACAGGGCAAATGCAGTAAAGGAATGGAAAGCTGAGCAAAACATGCGTTGCCTTGAATGGCCACCACAAAGCCCAGACCTCAACCCAATAGAAAATTTGTGGAAAGATCTTGGACTTGCTGTTAGAAATGGTCGAAGATGCCATAATCTCAGGGATTTGGAACAAGCCCTAGTTCATGAATGGAGTCGAATTCCAGTAAGAAGATGTCAGCAACTTATTCGAAGTATGCCCAATCGAATGCAGGCTGTAATACGTGCAAGAGGGGGATACACAAAGTACTGACATTCTTTATTTGAAATGATTACTTGATATGTTATTTAAGCAATGAAATTCCTGTAAGTAAATATATTTTTTTTAAAGTGAAAAAATCTTATATTTTCATTGATATTTTATCATATTTTATTCATGTAATATTAAAATATATAAAAAATTACTTAAATTTACCTCAAATGATAGCCTGGTTCAGAAAAATAAATCAATAAAAAATTTTTCTGTTGGTGGATACTTATTTATGGAGGGTAGTGTATGAGCAGCGAACGTCAGTTTCAATTTAATAATATAATAGCTGTATTACTAGAACTATTTGAAAGCGACTTAGGTATGAGAGAAAAAAAAACAATGAAACCTTTAATACAAAGTAGCATATAATTTCTCCACTGCACGGACACTGCAATCCACTTAATTTTATTATTTCCGAAATATCAAACTTGAACAGCTGTTAAATTTTTATACCTACAAAATGGGTGTTGTCTACACTACAGCTAGGACTATACACATGGATGGACATGATTTGTTTCTTATATATTTAATGAAATTTATACTTAATGAAATATTTGAAAGGAGAAATGGTTCTTGGTCATGATTTACAAAGATCTGAAGTACAATATCAAGAGTGTGACGGGCGGAGGATGCCCCATTTTTATATGTACTGAACGGATGACATGTAGTCCTGATAAAAATTAATTCGCTGAATTTACAGAGGATAAAACACTGTAAGCTGATTGGCATTTGCAAGGGTGTCAAGAAAGCTTACAGTACTTAAGGAGGATGGTACATCTTATGATGCACACTACCAGGCTTGCTTTGGATGCTGAATCTGACCTACATTTTCTGCATTAGTGAACAGGTTCATGTTTTCGGTGCAGGTCTCATTTCCAAGTAACTATGAGCACTAATGACTATAGTGACCAAACTTGCATGGATGATACGTCTAAGGATGCATACTACCAGACTTCCTTTGGATGCTGAATGTGACCTACATTTTTCGGTTGAGTGAACAGGTTAAATTGTTTGGTGCAGGTTTCATTTAAAAGATACTACTAGTCCTATATAATGACCAATTTTGCATGGATGGTACATCTTAGGATGCATACTACCAGACTTGCTTCGGATGCTGAATCTGACCTACATTTTCCGGTTGATTGAACGGGTTAAAGTTCTTGGTGCAGGTTTCATTTCCAAGTTACTATGAGCCCTATGATGACTAAACTTGCATGGATGATACATCTTAGGATGCATACTACCAGACTTGCTTCGGATGCTGAATCTGACCTACATTTTCTGGACGAGTGAACAGGTTAAAGTTTTTGGTGCAGGATTCATTTCCAAGTAACTCTGAGCTCTATAATGACCAAACTTGCATGGATGGTACATCTAACGATGCATTCTACTAGGTTGGCTTCGGATGCTGAATCTGACCTACATTTTCTGGATTATTGAAAAGGTTAGTTTTTTTAATACATTTCTACTTTGAGTAGACTGTTGGTTGATGGTTACTCTGTGAAATTCTTTCAAAATGCTACTCCTCCTACAGGATGCTGTGTATCGGTTTTTGATTTCGATGAACGGTGTTGCCGTGGTTATGTGAAATTCTTTCAACTCTTCCTACTTTTGGTCTGATTTCAATATAACCTTCGCACACAAGTAGACTACACTAAGATACATAATTCTGTATATCGGTTTTTGATACTAAAAATAGAAATTTCTGTTAAATACATTTTAGTCTGGTTATAATATAATGTGGCATGCAAGTAGACTACACTAAGATTTTCTGCTTCAGATGCTTATTTGACATATATTTTCCAGAAAAAGGTTAGTTTTTTTAATACAGGTTTCATTTCCAAGTAACTTTGAGCTCAATGTTGAGCAACCTTGCAAGGATGATCCATCTTAGGATGCACACTAATGGACTTGCTTCAGATGCTTATTTGACATATATTTTCCAGATAATGGACCTCGTAAAAGTTATGGGTGCAGGTCTATTACCAAGAAACTATAAGGCTGATATATATAAACCAAACTTTCACAAATGATGCATCAAAGGATGAAAACTCAAAATTGCTTCAGATGCTGGATATTAATTACACTTTCATGATGAACTTGTTTGAAGTTTTTATATAGGTCTATTCCAAAGTATGAAATCAAAATTGCACAAATTATGCATTTTTGGATGTACACTTTTTGTTGGGTAATTGTGTGACTTTGCCTTACTTAAAGACGACATTCATTGAGGTGAGCTCTGTAATCTCTGATTACCTATGTTTTAAAATTTGGACCTAACCCAATCAAAATTAAACTGCTTTTCTTTACATATTTTATTAAGTGTTTATCAGGTCGAGGGAAATACCTTATATGGATATTGTTGCGATTGTGCACAGAGGTGCTCACAACAAACAATGGTCCAATCCAGTGAATGAGCCGAAAAGCATGATGGTCTACTACATGTTTATTTTTTACTACAAACACGTGGGTCAGGGAAATTTAGGACGTAATTTCAAATGACTGCAGGAAAGTCAGCTAACAATTTTTTGAAAAGTGTTTATGACAAATACGAAGATTAGGTACTAATTAAGATTCCCAATGCTCACATTAACAAAGTCAGTTTTCCATGCTAAATAGTACTTTGAAATACCACTCACAAAGTCTTCACAAGTAAATAAGACAAGTTTTTTTTTAAACTCGATATTCGATAATTTGCCATGTAACAGGTTAAATTTGTTGTTGTAGTTGTTGCCCTGTCATTTGTTACTAGAAATTAAAAGTTGTATTTTATAAACAACAAAAAAAAAACCAAAAGCTTAAGTTGCATTTTTTTTTTATTATTTACCTGTTACATATAAACCCTCATGCACATTGGTCATAGAACGTGAGCAGCATATATTTCGAAGTTTTTAATGTTGTAAACATTATGTGAGCACACCTCAGAGTTGATTGCTTTTGGACCAAGGAATAGACAACGGACAAAATTTTGATCAGAGAAAGCTCACTTAAGACTTAGGTCAGGTGAGCTAAAAACATTAGAGCATAGATAAAGTGTACGTTTCTCTTTATTTAAAATAATTTTTACATAAATTTTTAAAAGATGTGTTTATCCTTAAAAAGTCGTCACAAACAATCTTTATTAACACTTCCACATTGACCTTCCTCCTTCAATGGCATCTTCATTTGCTCGATTCATTTTTTATCTTAAAAAAAGAATTTTATCAAAATTACATGTTTAATAATTAATGAGTCAGAAATAACACGATTCCGTCCAAATGTTTTAGTTTTGCCAAAAATAGGTTATCTTGTACATATATTGATTAAAAACTCTCTCATTATTTAGTTACAGATAAGTATTCGAAGACATTTAAATATCCCTTTTTTGAATGTTGAAATACAAAAATCGTTAATTTTTTATTGAAACTTTAAAATGATTTCAGTTGTTGAATTTCCTTAACAAAATATTTTATGATTAAACATAGTTCAAAAAGAAAAAGTATATTTCACTTTTGTGCATACTTTGATATTTTGAAACTCTCACTTTGATGTACAATGATTTCATTAAATATAGAATTTTTAAAATATAGAATTTAGAGTGGTTTTTTCATTATCATCGATTACCAGAAAAGATAAATTGGTATAAAAAAGAAATATTGTTTATACAAACATTACTTTTAAATTATTATAATTGATATGGAATATCAGAATATTTAAGCTCAGAATCTCACTAAATATTCTAGAAAATCAATATTTAAAGTATCATATATACATATGTAATAATATTATTATAGAATCTTCATAGTAAAGTAAAGTATGAAAAAAAATTCAATTTATACATGTATATACATTGCAGGTGAATGTAATTTAGTAGATTATATCCATCTGTAATTTTTTCATTAGAAAACCTAGGTAGTTGGGTTTTTATCTAAATGTTTCTATACTCGTATTTTATGTGTATTTTAATTCAAATATATGTTATATAGCTCCTTAGAGTGATTGTTTTTATTCTATAACTTTTTTTTTTAAATGAATATTGTATAATACATGTATATTCCCTGCAGCCTGCACAAGTTTTCATATTAATATGACTAAATTAAATAATAATTGACTTGTAGATCATAAGGGGATGATTTTTCAATATATTTGAACAAGTATAAAGCTAAATTATAGTAAATACCACAAATTCTGAAAATGTTATATAATAGTTTCAGAGAAAAAACAATTATTTGATTTATACCTTTCTTAGATGTTCAATTTCTCGCTGAAGGGTGCGTATTGTTGTCTTCTGCTTTTGACAAAACTCGTGGAGAACATTTATTTCATGCACGTTCTGAAATGTACAAAATTCATTCAAATGATTTGTTAAAAAATTCACATTTTTGTTTTTATCCATTAGTTATTGAAAATGGAGGAAAAGATCTTGTATTTTTGATAAATCATATTATTAGTTGGATACTTTGGCAATACAACTTTAAAGGAGGTTTCATTTAAGTTTTATATCTTTTCATCTATATAGCTAGTTTCTAAATTATTAAACAGCGCATTTTTCAATTAGAAAGCGTTTAAGGGAAACGGCCAAACAGATTTATAATTAACAAGCTAATTCAGAGACTTCGTGTCCCCCGCTTAGGGAAAAAGTCGGATCCCCCTGACTGAATTTGTAGAATTATTAAAAGTATACATGTATACTGAAGCAAATAAAATACATGTATGTCAATATGCATATAAAGATTTGATTGCTTATTCTTTATTATGTGTATAGAAGATTCTTTTTATATGGAATATTTATCACACTGTAATAATGATTTCATAACCTCATAAATTTTTCATTTCACATGCTGAATACTATCATTTAGTTAAAAAAAAGAAAAGTATTTTTTTAACAAAAAAAAAAAATGATCGACCGAGATTCGATCCCGGGAGGTCTCACATGTGGAGCGAGAGACATACCACTAGACCACGGAATCGCTTTACATGAAGTGAAGTATATGCAGAACTGAAGTCACATACATGTATATATTCATGTTCGGTATTCTCAAAATTTTACACAATCCATGGTGTTTGATTTATTTAGCCTTTATTAAACAGTTCTAATAGATGTAATAAGAACATAAAGTCCGCCGAGAACCTGTTTTATACGCAATAACTCTCCTCATGCCCCTGTGCTAAAAATAGCGACATGTAATACTATAGATACTAATAAAACAAACGGGGCGGGGCACTTTGATAGGAGTGAGAGAGGTCCTAGGGAGTTTTGGTATAAAATTATATTGCATAAGCTCAAAATCTTCTTGAAATATCGCCCGGAAATCATAGTGTTACACACAGACAGAATGTATAAATTTACGACCTTGAACTTTGACCTTTTGACCTCAAAATCAATAGGGGTCTTCATTAGGCCACAGGGAGTTGCTAGGTAAAATTTCATTGCAATAGCTCAAATGGTTCTAGATATATCGTGTGGAAACGAAAGTGTTATAACAGACAGAATTTGCTTATTTATGACCTTGACCTTTGACCTTTTGACCTCAAAATCAATAGGGGTCTTCTGTAGTCCATAGGGAGTTGCTATGCTAAATCTCATTGTAAAAGCTCAAAGGGTTCTCGAGATATCGTGTGGAAACGAAAGCGTTACAGACAGACAGAAAGACGGACGGACGGACAATCCCAAATTAATATCCCCCACTTTTCAAGCGGGGGACAATAAAAGGATGATTTTAATGCAGCGAAAGCACGAATCGTCTGCACCCTTTTCACAGGTAAACAAATTTACACTCTGGTGCTGAATGGTACAGCGTTATCGCGGCATGGTGACCTAATTCGTTTCTATATAGAGAAACGATCAGTCGTATTTTAGAGCTGCTAGTAGAATAGAAACAAGCTAATTCAGAGAATTCGTGTCCCCCGCTTAGGGAAAAAGTCGGCTCCCCCTGACTGAATTTGTAGAATTATTAAATGTATACATGTATACTGAAGGAAATAAAATACATGTATGTCAATATGCATATAAAGATTTGATTGCTTATTCTTTATTATGTGTATAGAAGATTTTTTTATAAGGAATATCTATTACACTGTAATGATGATTTTATAACCTCATAAATTTTTCATTTCACATGCTGAATACTATCATTTAGTAAAAAAAAAAAAAAAAAAAGGTTCGACCGAGATTCGATCCCGGGACCTTTCACATTTGAAGCGAGAGACTTTTTTTTTTCTCTTTTATTTGGTGTTTGATTTATTTAGCCTTTATTAAACAGTTCTAATAGATGTAATAAGAACATAAAGTCTGCCGAGAACCTGTTTTATACGCAATAACTCTCCTCATGCCTCTGTGCTAAAAATAGCGACATGTAATACTATAAATACTGATAAAACAAACGGGGCGGGGCACTTTGAGAGGGGTGAGAGAGGTCCTAGGGAGTTTTAGTATGAAATTATATTGCATAAGCTCAAAATCTTCTTGAAATATCGCCCGGAAATGATAGTGTTACACACAGACAGAATGTATAAATTTACGACCTTGAACTTTGACCTTTTGACCTCAAAATCAATAGAGGTCTTTATTAGGCCACATGGAGTTGTTATGTAAAATTTCATTGCGATAGCTCAAATGGTTCTAGAGATATCGTGTGGAAACGAAAGTGTTATAACAGACAGAATTTGCTTATTTATGATCTTGACCTTTGACCTTTTGACCTCAAAATCAATAGGGGTCTTCTTTAGTCCATAAGGAGTTGCTATGCTAAATTTCGTTGCAAAAGCTCAAAGGGTTCTCGAGATATCGTGTGGAAACGAAAACGTTACAGACAGACAGAAAGACGGACGGACGGACAAACCCAAATTAATATCCCCCACTTTTCAAGCGGGGGACAATAAAGTCCTTGTTGTCGTGAATGATACAGAATAACCTCATCGTTCTCGAAATGTTGTTTGAAATGTAAAGGCCTCGGCTTTTATCTATCAAACAACATTTGTCGACCTCGGAGGTTATTCTGCAACATTCACGAAAATGCGGACTTTATTTCTTAATTAAATGCATTTAAAAAATGAACGATTTGGTTATCTTGGGTATCTTTAGATGACAATTATCCCATTTAAATATGTTATATCTTAAAAGAAACTAATTTGACTTTAAAGTCTTGGCATTACTGAAAATAATTACCTTTCACACATTTCAATATTGAAATGACTTTTAGAAAATACATTATTCCTTTCTTGGTAACTATATTATTTTGAAATATACTAGAATTTGTTCTATCATAACAATAAAGTGACTATAGTAATTCCTTTTGTGATTAAAAGGTAACAAAACTCATTAAATCGTAAGAACTTATTACTTTAGTTCAGTGCTATTTTGATTCCTATGGAACGTGTAAACCAATTTTGTAGCAAAAAGTTCCGAATGTTTTTATTCTTCACGCTAACTTTGCTGAGAGCTCTAGAAGAGAGATACATGAACATAGTTATTCAGTGCTGAATTTCCATGACGTTCTGGGAGTTTATCAATCATGTATGTTATGCTATTTTGTGTCGCTATATGGCAGTCATGATGTTTATTTTCTCAAATAATATTGCCATAATTTTAAGTTTAAATGAGTCCTGATTACGTTTAGTCATGTTACTGATTTCATTTGTGAATACTGAGCGTTATTTTCCATTGTGACAGCAAAGTATAATGATTTTGTTTCGATAGTGAAAATTGGCTGCGATCTCCTTTTTAAAGGCTTGTAATATTTGAAACAGCTGAAAATTTCCATATTAAATTGTTTCTATGGTATCCAGACAAATTACAACTAAATTTTTGAGTTCAAGATGTCTATCTTTTTTGGTCTTATAAGTAAGGATAGGAAGAAAAGTTTCAACAAAATCGGTGACCAGGCATATGCCTGGCCAAAAACTTAACTGTATGAAAAAAAATGAATTTACCTCCTGTAGACAATGACGTTCCGATGTTTTGATAAAATTGTCTTCTCTGGGGCATGTCTAAAATTGAGGACTTTTTGTAAATACTCAGGTTGTCTTAATATTAGCCATATGACCAAAACAAATTTATTTACAAAAGACTTGATTAAAACATCATCTTACCTTTTCAGTTTTTTCCTCTAGTGATTTTCGGAGTCCTTTTATTATTTCATCTTTTTTGAATAACAGTTCCTGTTGAAAATGCTAGGACTTATTTCTTGCATATCACATGAACTAATTCTCTACTGATTAAATTACGATGATTGAAGTTGATTTGAATTGATTTTGAACTTCACTTTGTTTTACCTTCATTTCCTGAAATTCATTTTCCCTCTGTTCAGATTTCTGGTCAACTTGATTCTAAAAAAAGACGCCAAGTTCATGTTACATGTATTTATAGCTACTATACGTATTGGCAATATCTTTATACTTCATGTATGGAATGCAAGAAATAACTTACGTGGATAACATTCATATTTTTGATTATACATGTACATGTACTTGTTCAATCCTAATGCTTTGACATTATATGCTGATATAAGAAACCCTTAGTAAAATTGTTAACAGTTTGTGTATATCTTCTTTGTTACTTTGACGATACATTCTCCATTATTGACAGATTTTTCCGTTATTCCAGATCATGACAAGGAGCTCTCAACGGATGTGTTCTGTCGTCATGGGATGCTCACTCCTCCATGGCACCTGATCCCATCTCCGATGTTTTGGAGTTCTATGTTTGCCCTGCTCCAATTTTATATTGTTGAATGGACTTTTGAGCTTGAATACTATTCGATATTTCCACATATTTCATCTATCAATACCTTGGCATACCATACTTTAACTTTGTTTACATGCTTCTACTTTGATTGTAGTAAAGCATTAAATTGTACATTTATGACATATTTCGATTGAAATTTGATAAAGCGTGCTTATAATAATAAAAATTTGTCTGAATGGCCGTTCGTGTCATGACAATGTACATCAAAAGAGGAAAATTCAGTGTTTATAGTCAGGTTAATTTCTTTGTAAACTAATACAATAATATCATAATAATCACTCAACAACACAACAGATATGAACAAATAGGCCAAAACACAGACCCCTGGAATCAGGTGGTTTGAGAGAAGTAAGCATCCCCTTTCAGGTGATCTTACTGTTACATTGTATACCCTTCTTGAGGCTTCAGTATTGATAAGATATTTAGGTACTCTGTATTGAAAAATCAGTATGAATCAATCAAAATCAATTGCCTAATAAAAATTGGAATGATACATGTACTTCAAAATCCAATCCAATGATGGACTTGCAAAAAATAATTTAAAGTTAAACGAGCATAGAATTTGCCAAATGCTACTTTAAACGAGACTTACAGTTTTTAATTTATCCAATAATTTTCCTAAAGCCGTTATAAGTTCATCTTTTTCCAGTAACAGTTCCTGTGGAAGATTTGAGGACTCATTCTATTCACATTTTAAGCAATGTCCATGAATTTTAAAAGGAATCTAGTGTCAATCATCAAAATAAATTATTTAAGAAATTAACATAATTGTTATACCTTCGTTTGTTTTACTTCATTTTTCATCTGTTCCATATTTTGTTCAGCTTGAGTCTAAAAAAAGAGCAGAAAGATCAGCTTTGTGATGATATACATGTAACTTACAGGCTTTGAAGAAATGTTTAAGTTTATCTCAACATGAAAGGATTTTTAGGAATGATCGAATGTTGTACATGACTTATCAGAGCTAGATCTAGAGAAACAACAGCTCCTTCCTCAGTAGCACAAACTTGTAAAGCTGAACAAGATTCTTAAAATGAATGTGTCCGCCATATTCAATCGGACTCTCGCTATATCTGATGACCCCCTATATATAGAGCCGAACTAAGTCACTGTTCAGTGTAATCATTCGTCACCAGTGTAGAGAGAAATATGCTATACAGCACTCGGTAGCGACAAAAAAATAACTGTATACTTCTTCTAATGAAGTTAAGTAAGATATCAAAGAAACTACAATAGCTGTAAACAATTACAAATACACATAACTGCAATAAAATATAAACAATTTAAGTTAATGCAAAATAAGCAGCACGAACACGGATCCACGCCAATACCCATGAAAATAAAGCAGTCACGTGTAAGAAATGTCAAGATTATATTTATCCTGGTGTTGATATTGTAGATAGTAATATCAAAAATGGCGTATGCCTATTTAGTAGTCGTGTTCAGCTTTAAACATGCACATTTCCAGCTATTTCCTGACAGTTTGTAAACTCTTCTCTTTTAGATTTAATGTTCTATTAAATGACCCGAACCTGTAATTTACTCTGTTGATCTTTCATCTCTTGTATGTTTTCTTCCACTTGTTTAATTTTCTGTTCCTTTGCTTGAACCTGGGTCTAGAAAGATAAATCACAAGAAATGCTGCAAAATTATCAAATAACATATATTACTAGCTGTAGACATGTGAGGTCCTTAATAATACAAGTATTTTCAGACAATTGTTACCTCAAGGTCTTTCATGAGTTCTCTCTGTAATGCTTGGTAATCAAGAAACTCTTTATCTTTTTCAAAAAGCTTCATCTGAAAATGAGAAGAATTGTTAACTAATAGAAATACAAGCTCTGTGGCCCTTTAGTGATGGTAAACATAGTAGGTGAATATACAAATACCTGGTAATCTTTTTCAATGCCCTGTAGCCTTTGCTTTAAATCATCATCCTAGATTCGAAAATAGAATTGAAAACTAGTAGTTAAAGGAGTTATTATTATTTTATTATTATTTTACTCTTCCAAATTTCCATTCAAATATACTAAAAATAATATAACTGGAGTGACATTTGATAAGTTTTTAAAATGGAATATACTTCGTAAAGAATAGGTAGGTACTAATAGTGTTGAATGTTAAGATGTCGTCAAAGATTACGTATTTCATGAATGAAATCAATTCTAAATATCTTAAAGACATTTGGCTTATAATATATAAATCTGAAAACAATACATTCTGATTATTATATTAGAGGAGACTTGTACTAAAAAAAATTGACCAAATTTAGAGAATGAAATAATTTTGTGACATCAATGTTCCAGAAATTTCCATAGTAAAATTGAAAAAATATGTTTGAAAATGAGACCTAAATTAAAAAAAATTGTCTTTCTTTCCTTAATTCTGAATATAAGGACTCTTTTTTCACAAATTAATATTTCCTTAAACGATGAAAAAATACCAAGTATATAATCCAATTCCAATCCAGAACAATCATTTCGTAGTAATAAAATCTTAGAGAATAAATAATCCATTAATTGATAACAAAATTTTAAAACTAGATAGATTTATCCTATTAAAAGTACAATGTTCTTCCAATCATGTCAAGAAAAAGTTTACGGAGTTATTGCCATTTAAACTACATATTTACTTGGAGAATTGAATCATGCCCAAAATCATACTTTCCCTCTGTTGTTTTAACAGAATTTTACTTTATGTTTGAAATGTACTTTAAATTTATAATTATTTGATTATTTCGGTCGCAATTAGTTTGAAGTTGTGCTATATATTTTGCTAGATTGAGTGGACTGTAATACCTAATGTCCAAAACATCTACATGGTACTTATTACGCCTTACCAAGCATTTTATACACTAAATTATTATACGTACAGAATAATGCATTGAAATATTTTCAAATACAGCACGATTCTTCTCGTAGTATTTTCTAAGTCTTGTCTCCTCCTTCTTGTGGGCTGTTAGGTTCGACGCTGTTAACGTGTCTACAAAGTAATAGTAAGATTCTACAGAAAAAAAACAAAAAAATCACAGTCTTATCTCACCAAACTTGGTGATACAATTTTTTCAACATTATGTGTATATCGCAACAGATTTAATTAATGATGCAGTTTGGATTTACAGTTTCAAATATATCGATAAAATTGATCGTTAATAGGCAGACTCATTAAATATTTTGGTGTTTTTTAGTCAGGAAAAAAAGATTTTTTTTTTTAAATAATGAATTTTTCCCTAAATCACATATATTAATGCAAAAAAAATGTTTATGCTCAAATTCAAATTGTTGAATACATTTGCGTGAATTAATCAGTTCCTATCAAATAAGACTACATTCGACATACCGTCAAAGTAAGGAAGGAACAATTTTCTTTGTTTTGCACCAAAGTAACATTTCTCCCACCACTGGGAGATCTGTGATCTAACCGTTAGCAGTTCTTCTTCTAGCTTTTTGGTTTTACTGCTTCCCTTCAAAAGAGAAAGTCTCAAAATATATATTTACAGACAACTACAGTAATCAATACTATGCATGCATGGAACTACAAGTTAACTTTCAATTTAGCTTAGTAATATTTTTGATGAAATGAAATGAATCTATGTTTAATGAATTGAGAATTACAATATGTTCATGTTCAAGTTATCATCCAAGATCATGAATTTTTTTTTAATTTTTAATCTCAAATTTCTTTGTTCCTTTTCTTACTATCTTTAACACTTGCATGTATCCCTGCATTTTAACATCCGAATTTTCTCGATCATTTAATATGTTAAAGTTTTTCTGTATCAATATTTCAAAAAATATCCGTTACGATTTATCACCAGTAGAATTCTTCTCAATTTGAACTGATTGTTAATTTGCATTAATTTTTTTTTTTTTTCTTGGTGACATTTTTTACTTTCATATCTATTAAACAAAATCATTTCTTTTTATATTCGAGACAGCAGTTAAGGTTTTTTTTTTCTATTTTAACTTTTATTTGTTTCTTTTGTTTACACATGTTCTTGTACCCTGAACTCACAAATACTCCAATCTCAAAAGTTAAGTCACGATAACCGATATTAAGGTATATTTTAATCTTCACGATTTTACCTTATTTGGTTCTATTGCTCTTGTTTGACCCTTAGCTTTCCTTTTTGTTGCTTTGGTAACCATGGTATCGTTATCGTTATGTTCTACCTCTTGCTGTAATTCAGCCTTATCATCTACAGTAAAAGTTGCATCTTTTTGTTCGCTTTTGGTTTCCTGAAAAACAAAAGAGAAACTACTGCTTTCAAAACTTTAATATTGAAAAACAATATAACACAAAACACATTGTTTTCACAAGTAAAATTGATGCAAAGCATCAAATCGGCTGCAAACAAAATTTAGTATTTCAAAAAGTATTTTCACAATTTTAAAAGCATCCATGCAAGGAAAGCACAAGATATTCAATGCTTAAATAGTGGTCTATTTTAGTTCTGACTGTCATCAAAGCGAAATAAAATTTCAAACGAGATGTGTTTGTGAAACACTATGCGCCCGGCGGCAACAAAGTTCTAAAAAGCAATTTTTAGCAAATAGGTCACAGTCAATGTCACACAATCATTGTCCTTGGTGTCATTTGAAAGCACTTAATTAGTGGAGTATACATACCAAATATGAAGTCTCTATCTCCTATGGTTCAAGAGTTATGACGAAAGTTCGAAAAAGCTATTTTTAGCATATGGGTTACAGTCAAGGTCACAATGTCATTGACCTTGAAAGAGCTTAATAATCGGAGTATGCATGCCAAATACGATGACCCTATCTCCTATGGTTCAAAATTAAATGGCAAAAGTTCGAAAAAACTATTTTTAGCATATAGGTCACAATCAAGGTCACAAGGTCATTGACCTTGGTGTCAGTTGAAAGTGCTTAATTAGTGGAGTATGCATACCAGATATGAAGTCTCTGTCTCTTACGGTTCAAAAGTTATGGTAAAGGCTAAAGTTGACAACAGACAGACAAACAGACAGACAAGACAAAAAACAATATACGCCCTGAATCTATCGATTCGGGCGCATAAAAAATAAATAGAAATTGTAGTCCATTTTCTCAACAAGTGGATTCATTGTTGTAATGAAGTCAATAATAAATGATAAGAATTTATTGTCATCAAAATGAAGATGTAGACATCTCAAGATAGAACCACATGCTGATACCCTGGATCTTTGTCACGTGATAATGCCCTTGCAAAGTAGACTATGCTGCAAGGCGTGATGCAAAATCACAGGTACTTGTTTCGGAAATTAATGTTTTAACCCATAGTATAATAATAACAACGGTATTATTATACTATGGGTTAAAAATTTATTTCCGAAACAAGTGCCTGTGTGCAAAATGTAGAAAAATTACCCTTGTGTCATTTGCAGCTGTAGCATATTCAAAACAATTTTTCATAGTTGAATAGTATTTTTTTAATTTTTATTCACCATGGACTTTTATCACTTATTATCCGGAAAATCATGATGACTTCTTTTTATATCTTACACATCCCTACACTAGGGAGTACTTATTGTAAACTCTTTTTATTTAACCATAAATTATCAGTGGAAAAGTTATAATGAAATTGAAACATAATAGCAACAATCAATATTTAGTTTAAATCAAGTTTTCAAAATATTTTACTCATAATTTTATACTTGTTATCATTTAAGAATTATTTTCTGAACAAATGTGCACTTTCTAACACAACCACATATAGATCGGCCGTTTTGGCCGATAATAATAACAATAATTGTTTTTCGTCATGTCAAAATATCACATTTTTACGTTTGACTGAATATTGATCATTTCCAATTAGTTTGACCATATAAATTCCAACTTATGATATAATTTATCAACAACATTAGATGAATCCGTTTAAATATGTTTTATTAATATAATGAATCCACATGAATGGGACTACCGCCGAGTTCTCTGTCTCTTTCTTTCTGCTCTTAGGCTTTTTTCTATTTATGGAACTTTTAATCTCGTTCTCTTCGGAATTTGATTCTTTGTTGGATGCTGTTTGTGGCAATGATTCTTGATCAGCCGTTTCTGTATCATTTGGTCTATTTACCTGGGTAATTGATAATACTTTTATTACAAATATACTTTTCTACTTTATTTAACATCTAAAGAGGAATATAGTCTCATTCGTTTGATATCATTTCAAAGTAGCCAGCCTTTGGTACAATATTAGCTCTCTAGATTTATCGAACACACGTACATATTCAATTATAGCATTTTACCTCTCTCCTTAATCAAGCCTGGAGTAATGTATTACTGTAACAATGTTTGTTTCATGTGAGAGTTATATTTTTCACGTTGTGTTTTATAATTCCATACTTCCTTTACTGATCAAAATGATATGAATTGCTCTTTTTCTTTTTTTTTTTATCTTGGGGGGGGGGGGAAAACGACATCAAAACGAGATATTATCTTGAAAACGGTGAAAACGTATTATCTTGTGAAAACGAGAAATTCTGTGGAATGTAAGTCCATTTATTACATTATTTTTTGTTAATTTCTATCAAGCTCAATTACTGTTCATTATCTTCACTTTTTTCCCATCTTTTTTTTTTTACCAACGAATGAATGTATAAAAGCAAAACATGGGATACTAGTGAATATTTCTTTTGTTTACATCATCATTTTCCTTTTTTTATTTATTTATGAGGCGGTCACTGATTGGAATAATGTACAGAACTAAAATGCTTCCTTGTTTGTCTACAATCGTCATATTCATTGAATTAAGTTATATTTATTGGATGATATATGCTCTTTTCATTATCATTTATTTATAAAATATGTTCAGCAATGTGGTCACCAATAAACGGTGTTTAATTTATTTTAATTGGTGTCTGATGAAGTTTTTTTTTTCCGAAACGTTTATATAAAAACAAACTTGGTTTGAATTTTTGTTGCAAATTGTTTAAAATATTTTTCGAGACAAATCTCATAGACATGTATCGATTTAGATAACAAACATGTATTTGGCATGTTATGTAATAAAGTTTAATTAACAAACTGTTATTTGTGTTAAATGGCATGTTTATACAATACTGTGAGAATTAATTACGAATATATTATGTGGACATAAATGTGTTTTACATAAGTACATGTGTCGCTTGTAATATTATGATAATTATATAAAGACAGTCTTCAGTGTGTGGGTTTTTTTTTACTTACGAACTATAGCACTGTAGTTCAGTGGGAGAGGGAGGGGGATAGAAAGACCGTGAAAGAATGGTATTAATGATACTGTAAATTCCTAAATATATGCGTGGAATTAATTATCGTGTAATTTCGCGAGGAGCACCAGTCGCGAAATAAAATTACTCGCTTTTATTTTTATGTTGCAAAAAAACAATGTAAAATCTCCTGATGAACCGTCCTTTCGCGAATTATTATTCTCGCAATTTGACGTTGAAGAGACCTTTCGCGATAATAAGTACTCACGAAAAATAAGGAATCTACAGTAGTGACAATTTAAAAATATAAAATATGATTCTTCAGCTTAAGTTTGTTTGTTTATTAAAGTGCCTCACTAGAATTTTTCAATATGATAGAAACGCAACCATTTACCAGTGGAGGCCTGCAAGTTCGGAAAACATCTATTAGGTAATCAGATATTACAAAGCTTACCTTACCTCAACGAATGTTGTCTTTAAGTAAGGCAAATTCACACAATTAACCAACATTCTAAAAGTGTTCATCCCAAAATTCAAAATTTATGCAATTTTGATCTGAAAGGGCTTGAAGTTGCATTTGAATAGACCTATCCAAAAACTTCAAACTAGTCGCCCATCAAAAAAATGTTATTCAAATCCAGCATCTGAAGCAAGTTTGAGAGTGTTCATCCCTTAATGCATCATCTATGCAAGTTTAGTTCTAATGGTTTCTTGTTGATAAACCTGCATCCATAACCTTTACCTGGTTCATTATCTGGAAAATGTATGTCAGATCCAGCATCCGAAGCAAGTCCAAAAGTGTGCATCCTTAGATGTATCATCCATACAAGTTTGCTAAAAATAGGACTCAAATTAAGTTACCTAGAAATGAAACCTGCATAAAAAACTAGCATTTTGACTTATCCAGAAAATGTAGGTCAAATCCAGCATCCGAAGCAAGTCTGGTAGTGTGCATCCTTAGATGTGTCTTCTATGCAGGTTTGGTCAACATGGGGTTCAGAGTTCCTTTGAAATGAGACTTGCACCAAAAACTTTAACCTGTTTACTCATCCGGATCCAGAAAATGTAGGTCAGATTCCGCATCCAAAGCAAGTAAAGTAGTGTGCAACCTTTGATGTATTATCCATGCAAGTTTGGTCATCAAAGGGCTCCACCTAAACCTCCACCTAAAACATTAACCTGTTCACTCATCCAGAAAATGTAGGTCATATTCAGCGTCTGAAACAACCCTGGTTGTATGCATTTTTGATCATCATAAGGCACATAGTTACTTGGAAGTGAGACCTGCATCAAAAACTTTAAATCTTGACCCTAGGCTTTAGGGCGGGGCCACAATAAGAAATCAAAGTACGTGAAAGCATCCTGGGGAATTGTAGATTTTTAATTGTAAAAATCAAGTCCCATTGGGGTAGGGTGGGTGCAATCTGGTTAAGAACAATGTTACTCTGGTGAAAGATGTGGCCCATGGGCCTCTTGTAGTTTTTTAGTAATGAATTGTTCAAACAAGTGAGATATGTTTTGGATGAGGTGGGCTCTTCTACATTTATTTGTGTGGGTGCTAAGGTACTTCTTGGAAGGGAGTAAGGAGAAAAAGAAGAAAAACAGCCCAAACCCGAAAGCTCCATTTCGTAGGGGGTAAATGGGGGTTGAGGGTGACGGAGGTACCATAAGTCAAGATCACATTATTCATTTTCTTAGACAACATTTCTACCAGCGCTCCCTTTTCATCTAAAGGTAACACATACATGCAAATACATGGAGGAGCCCTCCATATCTCGCTCATTTTCACAACATTTTACAAAATGAAATACAAATGGAAAATGGAAAATTATAGAATAAGTATAAAACAATACAAATGAAAAATTTTACAATACAACAAATACAATACAATACAAATTGACTTTTTAATATCTATAAGCTACGCATACACTTGCACAGGATATTTCATGACACTCATCAATGTGACATCTCTAATTTTTACAGTATGTTTCATTCTAAAGACAATTTTTTCTCCTTCAAAAGAAGAGCTCTATTTTTTTTACCAGTAATTTCATTTCCTCTAACATTGAATATTTACCTTATTGTTTTCCTTTTTCCGTCCTCTCCTTTTCTGTGGAACATCTATATCTGTCGTTGTTTTCACTTGCTCATTTGCCGTCTTATTTAATTCCATCTTTTGTCCCGATTCTGATTGTTCAGTATCAGGGGTTTCATCTTGCTGAATCTTGCTCTTCTACAAATTATGTGATTAAAACATAATTTAATATCGAAAGATCCATGTACCATAACGCTCACCTGTCTGGTCACTTTGACTTTTCATTGTCATTAGCGCCTATATTTTCGTTCACGTAAAATGTCGTCACATTAGTCATATGTAATTTCATGATTTCACCGCATGAGAAACTGAATTTCAATATGTATAGGTATCAAAGACCGTGAAATTCATAGTTCTGAGAAATTACGAGTTTTTATTGTTTTCAATATCCACACTGCTGTTGACAAATTGGTTGATTGATATATTTTTTTTATTTACATGTGATATTACTTTCTGTAAACCAACTTTTATTCGCGTGCTAGAAATTTTCGCGAAGTTCGCGACAACCTTGTCATCGCAAATATTTCTCGCCGTGAACCGGTACTTAAAGTCTCTGTATTAATTAATAACAGATCCAAAATTTACATTTACATAGTACATGGTAATATATAATTTAAAAAAAAAAATATTTGTGTATTACGTTAGAAATGTGCTTGAATTCCTGCCGGTACAACTTACATCATCTACTTTTTTCTTTCTCCCACGTGTTCCCGCTCTTTTTTCCAATGTTTCTTCCTTCTGTTGTTCTTCTTCATCAATGTTCTCGTTTTTCAACACAAGGCCTATGTCTTCCACGTGAACAACACTGTCTTGGTCATTTGCTTGCTGTTCACCGTCACTGCAATCTTTGCCTTTTTTCTGTGAGATCTTCCTTCTCTCTACTGGCTTTTGTTTTCGTGCCACTTTCTTTTCTTCTGGATTGGTCAGTTCATCTGACTTCTCGAGATATATGCAGTTCTCATTTAAATTTTCTTTTCCCTTTAGTGTGTTTCCTGTATCAGGTTTCTAAAATAAACAATGAATATCTAGTAGTATGCTCTTATGTCCTTAGATGGAACAATTATACAATGTTTGTTTGATAGTTATTTACGAAAAGACTTCTTTAAGACAAATTTTTAAACTAGCAACCTGTCCAGAAATTAACGTACATGTATGATTGTCAAATCCAGCATCTGAAGCAAGATTAACGAGAGGCCCATGGGCCACATCGCTATCCTGAGTAACTTTGGTGATGCAGTTCTTTACCAGATTTCCCCTCTATTTATATCTATTGCGGCCCCCTACCCCCAACGGCACCCCCACCACTCCCGTCTTAATTTTTTTTAATAATTTAGAATCTACACTACCCCAGGATGCTTCCACCTAAGTTTCAGCTTTCCTGGCACACTGGTTCTTGAGAAGAAGATTTTTCCTATATATTTCTATATAAAACTTGGATTCTCTATTGTGGCCCAGCACTACTCCCGAGGGTCATGATTTTAATTTAGAATCTACACTACCCCAGGTTGCATTCACATAAGTTTCAGTTTTTCTGGCCCGCTGGTTTTTGAGAAGAAGATTTTTAAAGATGTTTCCTATATATTTCTATGTAAAACTAAGATTCCCTATTTTGGTCCTGCCCTACCCCCGGGGTCATGATTTTAATAATTTAGAATCTACACTACCCCAGAATGCTTCCACATAAGTTTCAGCTTTTCTGGCCGAATGGTTCTTGAGAAGAAGGTTTTTAAAGATGTTTTTTCTACATGTATATTTAACTATTTTAACATTTTAGATTTTACAAACTTAAATTCCTGTCCCATGGTTCTTGAGAAAAAGATTTTAAAAGATTTTTCCTATATATCTATGTACAACTTAAATCCCCAAATGTGGCCCCGCCATACCCCCGGGGGTCATGATTTTAACAATTTAGAATCTACACTTCCCAAAAATGCTTCCACATAAGTTTCAGCTTTCCTGGTCCACTGGTTCTTGAGAAGAAGATTTTTTAATGACCCCACCCTATTTTTGTCTTTTCTTAATTATCTCCCCTTGGAAGGAGACTTGGCCCTTTGTTTTAAGAATTTAGACTTTCCATTCCCCAAGAAAGCTTTGTACCAAGTTTGGTTAAAATTGGCCCAGTGGTTCTTGAGAAGAAGTTGAAAATGTGAAAAGTTTACAGACGGACGGATGGACGGACTACAGACAAAATGTGATCAGAAAAGCGCACTTGAGCATTCGGCTCAAGTGAGCTAAAAAGTGTTCATCACATGATACATCATTCATGAAAGTTTGGTCTAATTAGGGTTGATGTAACACTAATATGAGACTGCTCCTAACAGTTTTACCTGGTCACTCATGCATCTGCGAAATACAGGTCGAGTACAGAATTACAGAATCGGAAGCAACTCTAGTACTGTATATTGTTTGATGCATCACACATGCAAGTTTTCTTTTGGTATGCCTTTTAGTTAGTTTTTGGTCATACACCTTCTCCAGAAACTTTTACCTGGTCACTCATGTGGAAAATGTTGAGCATATCAAGCATCCGAAGCAAATTCACCGCAAGGCTAATTGTTACTCTAGAACGAACTTGCTACAAAATTGACAAATGAATGTTTGGGATTTTTCTGTTTTTATTCCCCTGTTATCCAAGATTCGGGGATATATATTTTTTTTCCTGTCCGTCTGTCTAGCCGTCTGTCTGCCTCTATGTTTATCTTCTATTTGTCCGAAAAACTTTGAAGTGGATGGGGCTATGGCATTTAAATTTCACAGATGTACTCCTTGTGAATTTTGAAAACTTGCCCCCCCCCCCTCTTGGTCAGTTTAAGTTTTTTCCCCCTTGTCAGATTGTTTTAAGGAAACCCCTTTTTGAAACCATTGCTACGGGTCTGTAAAACATATTCTTCATCCGATTGTCTTTGTGTTTGTCTGTGTACATACCTGTTGTCGGCTTGGTTTGCCTGTCGGTTTACCGGGCCTCCCCCTGGTTGATTTCTTAGTGGACACAGGTTCCTCTTCATTTTCTTGGTTCGAAATTTTTGATGCAGCAGACTGCAATAGGATAGATCTTGATAATTATACAAGTTACGTGTGTATATGTTCATATATATGTGGATATAAGAGTATAAATGTACTTTGAATCAGTTAAATCAAACTTACATAAAAAGAAACATAAAAATGACTTCCTTTTTAAAAACAAGAGGCCCAGGGGGCACATCGCTCACCTAAGCACATCGGCTAGGAAAAAGCAGAATCAGATCAGAACTGAAAAAATTACTGAGGTGTGTGTGTGTGTGTGTGTGTGTGGGGGGGGGGTAATACAACTTGAGAATACCTTCATATCAATACAGCATATGACTTTGCTGTTCTTGATAAAAAAAATTAAAAACATTTTGTTCCTTTATATTACTTCGTAATAATTTGAATTTGATTCTCCATTGTTTCCCTCCCTACCCCAAAGGCCATGATTTGAACAAATTTAAATCTTCAGTACATTAGGATGCTATAATATGTCAATATGACTAAACATAGCTTTTCTGTTTTTTCGGATTTTTTTCCTTTATATTTCTATGTAAAACTTTGATCCACCATTGTGGCCCAACCCTACCCTTAGGGGTTATGATTTGAACAAATTTAATTGTACACTACCTGAAAATGCTTCCATATAAATACTAGTATCACTAATCATGGCTTTGCTATTCTCGAGAAGAAGATTTGTAAAATATATTTTAATGTAAAACTTGATCCCCCATTGTGACCCCACCCTATCCCTGGGGGTAATGATTTGAACAAACTATAATCTACACTACCTAAGAATGATTCCATATAAATATCATTAATCATGGTTTTCAAGTACTTGAGAAGAAGATTTTAAAAGATTTCACTATATATTCCTAAATTAAACTTTGATTGGCCATTTTGGCCTCACCCTACCCCTGGGGGTCATGATTTGAACAAACTTGAATCCACACTACCTGATGATGCTTCCACATGAGTTTCATCTTTCCTGGCCCAGTGGTTCTTGAGAAGAAGATTTTTAAAAGATTTTTCCTATGTATTCCTTTGTAAAACTTTGATCAGCCATTGTGGCCCCACCCTACCCCCGGGGGTCATGATTTGAACAAACTTGTATCTACACTACCTGAGGATGATTCCACATTAGTTTCATCTTTCCTGGCCCAGTGGTTCTTGAGAAGAAGATTTTTTTAAAATGCCATTAATTTTTCATTAATTCATGATTATCTCCTCCTTGAAAGAGGGCGTGGCCCTTCATTTGAACAAACTTGAATCCCCTTCACCTAAGGATACTTTGTGGCAAGTTTGGTTGAAATTGGCCTAGTGGTTCTTGAGAAGAAGATGAAAATGTGAAAAGTTTACAACGATGACAGCGACAACGACGACGACTGACCACGGACAAATTTTGATCAGAAAAGCTCACTTGAGCCTTCGGCTCAGGTGAGCTAAAAATGATAAGCGAAGTCTTTTTTTAATATAGCTGAAAAAGAAGGTAAATGACATCATAAGATATATTTAACCTGCTAAAGAGGTTGGAAGTGGTTCTGTCCCACCGTCAAAAAATGACCACCGTATATATGTATAACTATCAACGTTAATACACGTTCTTTTATCGAACAAGTTTTACCCACTTAAGGTCAGGGGTCAGAAATCATAGCATGCTCGGAAATATTTTGCCACAGGTAATGGACATGTCAATATGAAAGCCTTCTATTTCTAAAACAGAAGTCAAAAAGAAGAAATACTGCGTAACATTTTTGAAGAGTAAGTCAAACTTTAAGGTCAAGGTCGCGGGGTCAAAAAATCGTAGTGTATTTAGAAAGGTCTTTCACAAGTTACACACATGTGTAATATGAAACAAGTTACACACATGTGTAATATGAAAGTCTTATCTCTTCTCATTCAAAAGATATGACCAACATTAAAGTTTTTTTGTGACAGACTGTCAGACGGACAGACCTAATGACTGACAGACGGACAAACTAATGAGATTCAATGTCACCTCGCTTTCGCGAAACAGGGGACAATAAGTATCAATATCCGTAGCGCCTATATGACCATGACCAACCGAACTTATGGAACTATACTGCACAAAATCTTACGAAAAATTATTGCTGAACAAACTGAGGAGTCGGGGCAAGGTAAGATTATTCAGTTTTGAAAAAACATAAAGACATTTACAACCTGTGCTGCTTGTCTTCTCGGCATTTTCTCGTTTTGAATAATCCCTTGTTCGATCGAGTGATTTCAGTTTGAGAATCGCTCACCCAGTGTACTTGTAAATGTATGATAATTAAACCCTCGGGCGCAGCGTTCGCATTCACTTACAAATTTCGGTCCTTGACTCAGTAAATGGTAGTAATAAACGGCATAAGTTCACATGTCAATGCGTGAACTTTTATGTTTCAAAAAGTTCACAAGGTCGCACTGCCCACATGTGCTTATGATAAGGACGACTACGCAAAAAAAGAAAATTTAATAAATAGATATTTAGAGTATTTAAATTAAAGATCCCGCTGGTTATGATTTTTTTTCTTAAAATGATTTCACAATGCGTGAAAGTGAAAAATACCAGGTACTTCATACCTGTCAGATAATGTTATCAGACAGAGAAATTAATACAGAAACTGGTATTTATACTTAAATCTGATACTCTCTTTTCAATTTTATTTATTTATTTATACTTTATAGAGGAAGAAAACGTGAATTGAAATAATTTCTAAGTTAACTTAGGTTATTAGTTTTTTCAAAGAAAAAAATATATAGCTAATATTTAAGAGGTATCAGATCGAGCTGAAATCCAGGGAAAAATGCAGAAAAGTCAGTAAATATAGAACCGTCCTTAATGCAATTCAAATTGAATTTAGTATGCGAAATAAATGAGGAAGAAAATATTCATTTCTAAAGTTATTTTTTATCGTCATAATCATTTGGCGTCATAATACTATGACGTTGGTATACACCTTTAGTATTATGACGTCATAATAACTTTATGCTGCAGATTTTGTTGTCAAGAAAACAAAATGGGTTTGTTCCAAAGTTGTTTGAGAAAAAATAATAAAGTTGGTATTCTCTCTGACGAAGAGAAAGCCGCTTACAAAAAGATCGAGGAGGTAAACAAAGAAATGGAGCAAGAGAAGACTGACGTTCAAACCCTCCCAATGATGATGTTTTGTGTTACTCCGGTGAAAGTCCATGGGGATACCATTCATATTAATGACGCTCCTCCAGATGTAATTAAGAAGGCTGAGTTGCTGAACTTTACTTACAAATCAAGTGTGCCTAAGTTGCCGCCGATTCCTGGACAAGTGAAGACAATCCTGATTCAGGATCTAGAAGACGAGAACGATTTCCTTAAATGGGAAGGTACGTAATACTAATACGATAAAATCAGTCTTCACTGACCAATTTCATAAATAATTCCATTCCTGTTTAATATTTTGATTTTTATTATTTTTGCAGAAGAAACCAAAAAAGTGCTTATGGAGAATGGTCCTCTGAAGAAGAACAAACATAAGTTGACAGAACAAAGAAGAAGACAGCTTCTCCGAAGAACATCTAGACAAGAAGTAAATTAAAAGAAGCCATTGTGAACAAATGAGACAGAACATATCTGCTGCTGTTTTCTTAAACAGGATGACTTTGAAATTTGAACACTTCTGTTAATTTGGTTTCAGTCGTGAATATCTTTGTCGAAGGAGGACTTCTATATAGGCTGGCTGTAAGCAGTTGCCTTATATACTTTATACGACTGTTGTGATTGTGCTTGTTCCTATATATATTTTCGTTGTTGAAATTTTAAAGGATGTGGATAATGGATTAATTTTTTTGGCTCGTTGTAAACTAATAATAAAAATCCTTCTTTTTTTTGGCTTCAACAATTTTTTTAAATCCATTGATCAGAATTAGGAATAAATTTACAAATGGTAAAATTGTGCAAGCATACAAAATGTAGTTATGTGCATGTAATAAAAAGGATTTTTATTACCATATCTCAGTTGTTTCGTCAAGCAAGGGCATTCTCTACGTATGAACAATTTCTTAAACGAGATTAAGTATTGACAAAGAAGTTGATGAAACAAGAATATCAGCAGTCTCGTTTAATGTCATCATTTCGTATGTTCGTTATTAAGTTCTATATGGTCGATACAATGACCTTGTCAGCAAATACAATTCATCATTGAGTCAAATGCTGGCTGAGGTTTTTCATACTTATTGTTAGTCCATTATTTATACACTGAACTGACGACGGATTTTTCCTTTTATTTCCCGATCATGACAAGGAGTACACGACGGTTGTGACTGGTCAGCAGGGGATGCTCACTCCTCCATGGCACCTGATATCACTTTTGATGTTTTGGAGGTCCATGTTTGTTCTGCTCCTATTTTGTATTGTTTTTATATGGGCTTTTGATCTTGAATACTGTTCGTTATCTTCATATGTTTCATGTCAACATTTAAAAAAAGTTTTAACTGGTGGTCGTTACAAGTCCCGAGAAGCCTTGACACAGCCATCGGTCATTGCCTAAGAGGTTTTTTTTTTATTGAAAGGCTTGTCCTCCATCATTGGACCTTAATCCCCACCCCTAACCCCATCCTCACCCAAAAGACAGAACCTGAACTTAAAAGAATTTTCTTTTCGGCTAATTAAAGATGTAATTTATTTCATCTGTCATTTCCCCCTAATATTCCCCCTTTATAAAATCTATCCTATATAAAAGAATCTGACGTTTTTTGTTTTTTTTGGTTCTAAAGCAGCTAAGTACATTTTAGAAATTCCAAATTATAACGTGTGGTAATGCTTATTATCCAGTCCCAGGCTCTCTCATTGCATTTGATTAGGTAAGATGGCTTGAGCTGCATAATGAGTTTGTACAATTTTATCATTGACTCATATCATAAAACAGTTATTACTGATTTTATTTCAGTCAAAACGAGGATTTAAGTACGAAGTACAATATTCAACTCATCCTTCGGCTCGGTGAATATTTAATTCCTGGGGAGGCTAAATACTCGTATTAACTAAAACAAAAAGCCATTCATTCTGTCTCCAAAAACCTCATTGTGGTGTTACCTGTAAACCACTACAAAGAACCACCGACCTGTCTGATGGATTTGGATAGATAGTTGAATTTGCTATAGTATTATAAATCATTATCTGTCGGCAGTGGCTCGAAAGGTATGGATGAATTTGTTGCTGGAAGATACGACGGTAGATTTGTGTCGAAGGATGTTTCAGCAAAGAAAAAAAACAAAAACAAAAACAACAAAAAAAAACCTGGAAAAGTAGGTGAATATGTTACTGCAGGGGGGATTTGTCAGCTATAGGTGGAAAGGACGGTTAGAATAATGAAAAAATAAGTCGGAGATTACATCATAGCTAAATGGGATGTACTTTAGGAGTACTTTAATTGAGATGTCAGTCAGTGGATGAAAAGGTAGATTACTAGGCAATGGGAGAAGAGAGAGAGTTATGGTTGTGTAGGCAAGTGGAAAAATTGAAACAAAAAGGAATCACAATTCACAACCTGAGAAATACATGTAGATAAAATATAAATCCCCCAAAGCTGCTATATTGAAGAAAACGGTAAATGTGCATTTTTCCTACATTAAAAACTAAACATTCCGTATGTTGAACGACATAATAAATTACTCAAATTTCCTTTGAGGTAAATGAACCCTATTAAATTCTGAGCACATACTATACAAGATACAAGATACAAGATTTTATTAATCCAATTTGGGCCCCCGGAGGAGCAAAAAGATTTACAAATAGAGGGAGGAGGATCCAAATGATAGAACAAGCATGATGATGATATTACAAATAAAGAGCAATTGTTAAAAAAAAACAAAAAAAGTATATAAGAGATATTCTGAATATACATACATGTATCGTATTGTAAGTTACATACAAATATATATAATTTATACATATATATATATATATATATATATACCTATACACACACACACACACATATATATATATATATATATATATATATATATATATATATATATATATATATATATATATATATATATATATATATATATATATATAAGATAAGATAAGATAAGATTTATTAATACCAATTTGGGGCCCATCAGGGCATACAAGTAATAAGGAAAAAAAACATACAAGCAGAAATTCAAAATTGATAGCAGTAACTAACAAAAGATAAATGATGTTACAGCAGTTGGGGATTACAACATACATAATCAATATACTGTAAATAAAAGATGGTTTAAAGTATTTCTATATATTACTCTTTTGTATTTATTTGTTTCTTTGTTTAACATTGCATAATTTGCTATTTCTTATTTTAAAGATATTGATTAAAAAATTACCCAGCTTGATAAGCAACATGTCATCTTCATTAGACATAATCCATAAAAAATTTTCTTTATTTGTTAAAGTATAGAAATTTTTATTACTTTTAGCAATAATATTAAAAAAGTCATCTTATCATGCTTATATAATGGACATTCAATCAGTGAGTGTGATCTCATCTTCCACACAGTTCATGTCGCACATTCTACAAATTCTTTCATTTCTTGCAAGGGTGGTTTGCTCTCCAGCAGAGTTTAGTTTTTATTTCGTACCTTCCACTTTCTATTCTGAGGTTATGTGAACTCACTCTAAATTTGCATAAATTTTTCTTTGTTCAAAATTTTTTAATAATAAATACTTTTCAATTTCAAAACTTCTTTTTATATAGAAATATGTTGTAAGTTTACCCGATAGACAACCATCATCTCTTTGTTTAAACCAATATTGAAGGAAATCTTCTCTAATAATTTTTTTCAGATGTTTCTTTAAAGTTATTAGTTTCATTGATTTACATCTTGACAAATCTATGCCCATTATGTTACAGAAATATGTTACATTTGAAAACCAACTATTTACATTACAACTGTCCAAGATAATGCTTTCTTTGTATGCACTGTATAACAAAGAGTTTTCAGGCATGTTTTCCAGTCTGTGCCAGTAAGATATAATTGCTATAATAATAGAATATAATATTGGTTGTCTACCCAGTTCAGAGAGAACTGCAATATTGGTTTCTTTTCCCAGACCCTATGATAAATTTGCAAAATTTCATATGAAGATTTTCAATCTCCCAATCTTTAAATATATCAAATAAACATTTTTCTTTTCTTTGCATTGATGATGACAATACACCCCATATTTCGGATCCATAGGTAGCTATTGGCTTGATCATTTGATCAAATAGATGAAGTAAAGTTTTAATGGGTGGATCTGTTGATTTTATATCTTTGTATATTTTAAATGATGACTTTAAAGCTTTGTTATATAAATTACACCTTGCTTCTTTGAAAGAACCAGAATTTGAGAGTATTATACCTAGGTATTTATACGTTTTTACACATTCTATATTAATACCATTAATTGAAAATGTTTCTTTTAATAAATGCCCACTTCTGTTGAAAATAATTACTTTTGTTTTGTTAACATTGATTTCCAAACACCATTCTTTACAATATTTGTATAACATATCAAGTTTTTGTTGCAGGGCTAGCTGGTTGTCAGATAATAATACTAAATCGTCTGCATATAATAAAGCTCCTATTTGCTTTTTGAGAAGTGAGAGAGTTAACAACATCTTCATTTAGTAAATTTGCGAGATCATTTAAGAATATTTTGAATATATTCGGGCTTAAGACATCACCTTGTCTTACTCCTAGTTCAGGTGAGAAGGGTTGGGTTAATTTATTATCAATTTTAATCGAGATATAACTGTATTTGTACATACTGCATATTATTTTGTAGAATAGTCCATTTATATTCAATATTTATATTTACAGACTATATATAGACTAGTACAATGAAAAGTTCATCACTCTCTAGCAATTAGACGGTAGGTCTTAATTTTATTAAAAAAATCTCTTACAAGAGTAACTTTACATTTATTTTATTGGCCGAAACACTCTATGAACTTTTAGCTCAATTAAGCTTAATCTCTTTTGATCTTTTCCATCGGTTAGTCTGTCGTTTATACATTGTATCATAGGTTCGTCTTTCTGTTTATTTTTCACATCTTCGTCTTTTTAATAACCACCAAGCGATCCAAACCTCCCAAGAAGAATCCCTACGTAAAGGGGACTCAAATGAGAGATGATGGAAGATATATACATATATGTTTGTTAGCATTGACGAGAAGGGCAGGTGATTATATGTTACTGGAAGATACCGCAGCAAAATGGCTTGAAAAAGTATTTGTATTTGTTACCAAAAGATTTATCCTCCACACATGCACACATGATTTTATGGCTGGATAAATTATAGGTGAAAATGTTACTTAAAGACTCCTCTAGATAGGCTTAGATACATATGCAGAAGGTCCTAGTTGAGCGTACGTTTTATCCTTTTGCGATACATGTAAATATTTAAACTTTTGGTTGATCTGAAGGCTTTGTTTGGATAAAATAGTGGATTTGTTGTTTGAATGCTAAAATATAATTTTATAAATTTTCATTTGACAAATCATCATCCAAAGCAAAATTCTAAACGAGTTTTTTTTTCCAATCCTAGAAATAAAAAATCCCCCTATTACTACTTTTTTATACAACTGTAATTTATAAAATTTATGTGCACTTTCTCTATATTATTGAAAAATAAAATCTCATTCTATTTAAATCAAAATTATTTTTTCTCAAATTTCCTTGGACGTAAATGACCTGATTAAATCTGATACAGATTCAATTCAAAGTATAATTCTTTTGCGCCATTCAAGAGTTGACCTAAATTTTCTGCCTATGGGACCAGATATATGTTTATGGAACATTGTTACAAAGCGAAATGCAATAACAACTCAGAAGGTAATAAACATGTATTAATTGCATTTTGCGTCATTAAATT